ATTTTTTTTCTCCCTCTGGTTTCCATTCTAGCCAGCAGGTTTAAGTAACTAAATAAACTCATCATCAGCATTAATTATTTTAAAGATTTCTCTTTTGCAAAAAACACAAGCCTGTTTGATTTTTAAATGCCTGTCTTCAATTAAAACAAGTTAGAATTAGATAATGTGTCCAAGCTAAAATATATACATGCCATAATAATATTTGCTGGATTAGTTTTTTACAATAACGATTAGAAACTCCATGGATTCAATGTGGAATAGATAATATTTAATAAAAATATACACAAATACACAAATCCTGCAGATCAGCTTGAGATTATGGGATAATTTCTTCAGTTTATTGTATGTATTACAATAAACTTTTTTCAGGAATACCTGAAAAAGAATCAAAATGTCACCCACAGATGAACATCATTTCTTAAGGAGGTTTGAAACAAAATCAGAAACCACTTAGAGTCAAGTCCACGATAAACTAGAACAAAGGATTAAACCAAGAAAGAAGCCCTTGCTCTAAAATCAACTAATGCTCACATGATTTTACAGCTAACCTTGACAGATTTAAGGCTTTTTAAACAAAAGGACACTTTTGCTGTGCAATTGTTTCCCAGAGCGTGGCAATGGTGCTTTGAATGATTTTGTAGGAAATAGTTAAATGGACGCCTTCCTATACATTTTGGAACATCTCCACACATCTCAAGTTAATACATAATATTTAATGCGATCCAATACACATCAGTAAACATTTTGGATACAGCGGGTTAACATTAAGCTACTGAAATAACATTCCTATTTCCCTGTTGGCACAAAATTGCAAAATCAAGTTTGTGCCAGGAAGTCATTCAGTTTACATTTCTGCAAAGAAGAGATGTTAAATATTTAGAGGAAATCATGGTTGCCTAGAAAATTGCATTTCAACTTGCCGTGCCTTTTTTTGTTTCTCAGCCGTGACATTTAAAACCAGGCTTTTTACATAAGTTTTATCTGGTGATGCTCACAGCATCCCCTTCCTGCGGTTGCTTACACATGGGCGTACGGTAACAAATCTTTGCAAATCATGCATTAAAAGCCAAATTAGTTTGAAATGTTTAACTACAACAGCTTACTTGCTCAAATACAGACCTCTAAGTGAGGAGGAGAAAGAAAAATTTCTTTTTTTTCCCCCCATCCAAAAATTAAACTGTATCGCATTAAGCAACAAATTAAAAAACCTCATGGCTACTTCGAAGTGCCACAATGATTAAAGAATTGTACTTATATCAATTTCTGTTGTGTTTCTGGTTTTGTTTTCTCAGTTTATTTTTATATTATTATTATTTCAAAGTGTGATAAAAACAGAAATAGATTCCCTTAAAATAGAAAATAACAGTTTAATTATTCACAGATTTTAAAGGATTAAAGCCTACAGGAGGTATCCTAAAGGATCAGCATCTTCACAAGGCAAAATAAGCTACTGGGTGATTCATTAGAAAATGAAACATTTTAAGAATACACAACCATTGGAAGGGATAATTGTTTTTATTTATATCTCAGAACAGAGGCACTGTGAAATATTGTAGGTTTACCTAGTTGAACCCCTGAAAAATAGCCTTGACAAGACATTAACTACCTCAGGCTCCCTCCCTGGCACTCAGAGTTAGCCTTCGTTTCTACTGTAGAAGCGATGGGGGTAGAAGAATGGCCCAAAATAATTACCTTGTTGGTGGCTACAGAGAGTGTGAATGTGCAACTTGCAAAGGTATATTTTATGGAGGATTTTTCCTGCCAAAAACAATTACTGAACTTACCATAAGTAACTTCAATCAAAATACTGCCATCATTGCATTATTTTGTTGTATACTTCCACCAGGTAAAAATCAACAGCTATAGTTTTTTAGCTCAATGTTATCGTTAAACACCAGCCAATAACAAATACATGCAAAGTTCTCCATCTTCAGATCAGATAGCAAGAAATGTATAGCAGGACTTTATACAGTCTGTGGAACAACATAATGAGTAGATTTTTTAAAATTATACTCTGTGCATGACTTCCATGTTATGCACATTGCTGCAAATGTTTTTTTTAATGCAATGTTGGATTACAAAACAGGATAAATGGAATAACAATTAATAAAGCACCATAAAAAACAAAAAGAGGACAGATTAAAAAACCTGAACTAATGCTGACCTTTTACTTAACGGCTCATTGTTATAGCTATTGAGGTTCAATTTTACACTCCAAGTGCTGCTCACATGGCATTACAGGCTTCATTGACCCCTTATAATCACATGATGAGTGTACTGTAATTGCACAACTGGCTTATTTGATGCACTGGTCTATTTATGCATGTAAGCACTGCAGTAAAATTAGACATGTGAGCTGCATGATGCATCTCATGGCTTTATGGACTCTCGCCAGGCTCTCCTGAGAGAGAGCTGTACACAGTAAAGCTCCTCTGAGTCTTACCAGATGTGTTTTTTTTTTTTTTTTAGTTACCCAGTGGAGCAGAGTGTAAAGTCAGTAACCATAAATCATTTACACAGCATACTGGTTACTGTGAATGATGGTAACTGAACTGTGATAATATGAGTAACTCCTTACTTGCTTTAGAATCAGAATTAGAACTGAATGAATAAAAGTCATAAAATCCGTCCATTTTCCATCATGCTTTATCCCTTCTGGGGTATAAAAGTCATAACATTTAATAAAAAATCATAATTGTAGTCAATTAATCTATAATAAATACTGTGTGTGGAGGTTGAGAGTGTTGATAATGACGATGCTTTCATTATGTACTCAAAACTAAGGATAATCAGCTGTACATGCCATATATTTAGAGCTAAAATGATGACTACTACATAAAAAAGTGCATCTTTTAACTCGATATTCTGTATAACTGCATAACAAACTATAGCTAATTAATGAGGAAGAAAACTTTGCGGGAAACCCAGAAAAAAAATTGTTAAAACTTTGTGCATCCTAATCACACATCATTAACTTTTCCCCCTTGTTGAACCTCCTTTTACTGCCTCTCAGTACAACAAAAAACACAACCAGAGTTGTTTTTTCTTTGTTCTTTTCAAGAGAAGCGCACTCAGCCTGAAGAGGAAAATGAGTTTTTCCATGATTGAAATGAATGTAGCATTTATCGGGTTTATTTCCAGTTGCTGTAAATTAAAAAGACCTACGTTTGGGAATTTTTTTAGAACATTATTCGACAACATCATTATCACTGACTCATTGTGATGAGGACGTTGTTTACTCTCTGCTCTTGAGTTTGGACTGGATGGAAGTAAATATGGAAATAATTCTAGTTTCAGGCTGTGAAATCTCCCTCTGAGTAGCTTGAAGTGTAAGGAAACACAACAGTTCTCCAAATGTGATGCGATACAAGCACCCAATGTTATTCCAATCACAATTATTACCATTTTACAGCATACTTCAGGGGTAGTGGTGTGATTGTCTTGTGTTGACACAGATGTCTAAAGAGCATCCCTAAAAACATAAAATGATTAAGTTTACCTAATCAAATATTTTCTTCATGATGAGTTTAGGAAATTTGGATTCAAGAAATTTGTGTGAGGGATTGCCTTTTTAGTCAGTGAGTCCATGCAAACAGCTGGTTTTCCTTAGATAGAAAACTTTGAACCAATCTTACTGGATGAACTGGTTGAATTGTCTCTACAAAGTGCTTTGAGATCACATGTTGTAAATTGGCGCTATATTAATAAACTGAATTGAATTGAAATCAAAGCCAGATATTAACCAGACAAAGGTCTTTTTTTCAATGTTTTTGCTTGTTTTGTTTGAATTTCCCATCATGTACTGCAAGTAAGTAGTGTACCCGAGGTTTGGCTCCTCTAAACTAAAATCTGTAAATTACCTGGAACTGAAACAATCAAACAGATTATTTGAAATGACAAAAGTTAAGAAGTCAAATAATAGTAAACTTGAGTTTTTTTTTTTTTTTACCCTATCCAGAATTAATAAGCTGCTATAGAATTAACTTCACCTAGTTTAAATTCAGTAAAGGCTCTCCTATTATACACCTCTAGTTACTATTAATTGGTTAATGGCAAAATAGTCATCCACTTAATTGATTAGCAAAATAATAATTAGGTACATTCCTAATCCATCTTATACCGTCATTAGAACTTGACTTGGTCAAATTCTGTAAAGGCAAAATAATTTTAGTGTATGTAAACTTCCAGTATTAACACCAAAGCAAACACAGTATCTATCATATAAGTTAGTGGCCCTAAAACTTGGTCCTCGGGATCCACAGTCCTGCATGTTATATATGTTTCTGTGCTCCAGGGACTTTATTTTTCAGCTTTTGTTGAAAAGCTGAAGAATAAAGTCAAATGGAGTTTGTATTGTGAGGTTACTAGTTGTGTAAACTACACTGATTACAGTTACATTTCTTCCAGTTTAAATTTAGCATTTAATTAAATAATACATGTTATTTTTATCCACTTATCTTCTATTCTGTTTCACAATTGTTTTATTTATCAAAAATGTATTTTTCTTTCTTTTTACTGGGAGCCATATGGAACTATAAGTAGAGCCAACAATACAGCAACAATAGAGCATATCCAGACTATTTCTTTTTTAGGTGGACTTTCACCGCATTCTAACATCCACTTATTACACCTACTTTCAAACATCAATTCATCCACTTCTTCACTACTTACTTGACTCAGTGATGGCATCACAATACCTATTGCCCTTTTAAAAGATCAAAGCTGGTCTCTGAAAAT